ACCTTCACCAGCAAACTCAAACAACCAACAAGAACAACAACAACAACACAACAACAACAGCAACCCAAACTCACTCAACTTCACCAACCCAAGCCTACTCAGCCCACCACCAACACCCACCTCATCATCAAACCCATCATCATCCATCCATCGAAAACATTCATCAATCAACCCACCCAAAACCACCGAACAACAACAACAACAACAACAACCCCAACCAAATGGACTCCGAAAGATCAGAACATCAATCCTACGCTCAAAGAAAATATCCGCACCCATCCTCCAATCAACCGACTCACTCAACATCCTCGCTGATCTTCATCATCCACTCACCATCGACTCCACCGTCCGATTAGAACCAACCATCCCATCCACTACCAACAACAACGTCAGCAACATCAACAACGACGAAGCTAATGACCATCTCCTCGACTTACCCTCAGCCACCAGTCTCCCCGCAAATAATCAACAAACCCCGAATCTCGCGGTCAGTGGGCCGGCCAAATGGCTTCGACGGGTTAGCTCGGCACCCAACACAAAGGCCTGGATCCTCGCCGGCTTAGGAAACCACAACCCAGATAATCTGATTCACCACATGGCCAACCTCCCCCCTCCCGTCCCGCCCCTGCCCGCCAACGCCACCGGCTTCGGCCAGAACGCAGACGGAACCCTCATCCCCCCTTCCACCTTCTCCTACTCCTCCTCCAATAATAACCCAAACTCGCCCCACCAACGCGCCCTCCGCAAATCCTCAAAGACCATCTCCTCAAACTCCTCTGGCTTCCTCCAGTCTCGCACCAGTCCTCACAACTCTTCTTCCAAATTCTTCTCCTCTTCCTCCTCTGCCTCCTCCAACCAATCCACCCCCAAATCCGCCTTCTCCAGTCTCCCGTTCTCCAAAAACCACCACCATCATCATCATCCCAATCAGCCAAAGAGCGCATCCTCCTCCTCGTCCCCCCTCTTGGAGACTCAGAGAAGCTACAGTTCGAACTCCATCAAGGTCTCCAAATCCGAGGTCGGCCCTGAATCGTTCGAGAAGATCCGTCTCTTGGGAAAGGGCGACGTTGGCAAAGTCTACCTCGTTCGCGAGAAACTCCCACCGCCTCCATCCACCAAAGATCTCCCTCCCTCTTTGACTTCGACAACCTCCACCGACGAGCTCGGTCATCTCTTGGTCCCCAACCCCCACCACCAGCATCATCAACAACTGGCTCCGAACCCGAACCCCCCAACTGAACGCCTCTATGCTATGAAGGTCTTGAATAAAAAGGAAATGATTCAACGTAATAAAATCAAACGCGCTTTGGCCGAACAAGTTCAGTCCTTTCCTTTCTCTCTCTACTATGCTCCTATATCAGGTTGTTTTATACTAATGATTTTTTTGGGTGTGTGTGGTAGGGGATCTTGGCGGCTTCTAATCATCCGTTTATCGTGACGCTTTACCACTCCTTCCAATCGGAAGACTATCTGTATTTCTGTATGGAATATTGCATGGGCGGCGAATTCGTAAGTCTCTTCATCTCTCACCATCATCTTTCCATCCAAAAAGAGAAATAATCAAGTTGACTTTTTTTTTTGTGGGGGTGATGTAGTTTAGGACCTTACAGACTCGGCCGGATAAGCGGCTGCCCGAAGCTGACGCTAGGTTCTATGCCGCTGAAGTCATCTCCGCTCTCGAATACTTGCATTTGCATGGATATATCTATCGCGATTTGAAGCCTGAAAGTTCGTCTCACACTCTCCCATCTCCTTCTTTTGTGGGTCTGGTTGCTGATTTGGATCTTTCTTTTTTTACTAGATATTTTGTTGCATCAGTCTGGACACATCATGTTATGTAAGTACCATCCCCACACGCGTTATTTCACAGCTAGATGATGGGTGTTAATTTTGATTGGACAGCCGATTTTGATTTATCGAAGCAATCAGAAGTAGGAGGGGCACCAGCGGGGGTGAAGATGATCACGCCGGATGGTGTCCCACTGATCGACACACGTTCGTGCATAGCCGATTTCCGGACGAACTCGTTTGTAGGCACGGAGGAATACATAGCCCCGGAGGTGATCCACGGGAACGGACATTCGTCGGCGGTTGATTGGTGGACGGTGGGCATCCTAGTGTACGAGATGATCTACGGCTACACGCCTTTCAAAGGCCCCGACCGTCAAGCCACCTTCGCCAACGTCCTCAAACGCGACGTCTTCTTCGCAGACCTCCCTCTCGTCTCTGGACTCGCTAAATCTATCATTAGGAAGTTGTTGGTCAAGGATGAGTTGGCTAGACTCGGCTCCCTCACTGGGGCCTCCGAAGTCAAACATCATAAATGGTTCGCTTCCATCTCCTGGGGCTTGCTTAGGAACTGCAAACCTCCGATCATCCCGCCGGCTTCTAATGCCATGGACGCTACTAAGTACAGCTCTCTTCCATCCTCTTACCCTGTTTTTTTTTTTGATCTTCGATGGTCGAAAACTGACTGAGTTTTTTTTTTTTTTTTGGTTTGGGTTGGTAGTTTTAGGAAGATCCGAGAATCGAATTCCTTGGATCTCGAGTCCCAAGCGCTCAAAGCCCATCCCAGTCCGTCGGCCCAACCGATCCAATTATCGTCCACCACCAGCACTCGTTCGTTGAATGCGCGATACAACAACAACACGAACCCTAAGAATCCGACGACAAAGACGGTCAAGAAGAAGAAGAGTGTCTTCTTGTCCCAGTCGACTCCCCCCTCAGCTACTGCTACTCCTTCGCCCGAATCTGTCAATTCCTTATCTTCCTCCATCAATGCCGCCCTTCATCCTCATTCGGGCAAGAGGATCAAACCACAGAAACATCGGCTTGCTCATCTTTCTTCGTCCTTGAACTCGAATGGCGTTGCTCATCTAGGCGATCCAGCTCATCATGGATACATGGAAGAAGAACAGGGACCCAGAAGCGGGAGAGGATGATGATGATGATGATGATCAAGGGAGAGGATGAGGATGAAGATGATGGAAGAGGGAGGAGAAGAAGAAAGACGACCAAGAGATCATCCACGACCGATTCAAACACGGCCTCCTCCATCCCTCCTCCTGCCTCCTCGAATCTTCCCACCCACCATCACCCCTCCTCCTCCTCCTCCTCCTCTGAAACCACTCTCACTACCCACTCCTCCCCCCTCAATCCAATCGCTAATCCGCCCGTCACCCCTCACTTCGAACATCCCGACGATCCCTTCTTTTTGTTCTCGTCCCTCTCCTTGCATCATGATGTTCATTAATCATCTCCTCTCTCTCTCTTTCTCGCTCTTTTTCATTCTTCGACCCCCCGTTATCCGGTCTGTCTTTCTGGGGGTTTTTTGGGGGGTAGGGGACGGACTTTTATACGTACATTATGTCCTGGGGTTTTTTTCCCCGGGTTCTTTTTTTGTTTTTGAACAATCTTTCTTTCTTTCTTTAATCAAGTCCAAAAAAAAACCCTCTACAAAGTTAAAAAAACAACACCAACAACAACAAGGTTAATTAACTAATCACACACACACACACAAAAAAAAGTCCAAAAAAAAATTATTTATATGTTCATTTAGGGTTGGGGTTTTTTTTTTTCGAAGTTATATCTCGTTTTTGTTATAGTAGTCAACGCCTATTTTCCGTCGTTCTTTTAAGATCCCGAATAGTTTGTAAGTTTCTGGGCCATCCGGGGCGCGTTCAGAATCATCATCATCATCTTTCTCTTTCTTTCTTTCGGTTACCGTCCGGCCTTAATTCTCGCTGCTCTATAGCTTATATACAACGACGACGGCCTGGGTTTATCTCCGAGGTCGGATATCCCTAGTCGTCCCCTCTTCTTCTTCTTCTTTCGCTCGGACTCGCATTCTCGTTTCTCTGTTCTCTGTTCTCTTTTCGATCGATCGTGGTCTTTGTTGTTTTGGTTTGTTTTGGTTTTGGGTGGGGTGGGGTGGGGAGCTCTGCTTTCTATCTGCTGTCTTCATTCTGCGTTCGGCTGTCTTCATTCTGTCTGCTTTCATCTCCTCTCTCGCTTCATCAATCAATCAATCTATATGTCTTCCTTCATTCATCTTTCTTCCTTCCTTCTTTCTCTTTCTTCCTTCTTTCATCTTTCTTCCTTCTTCCTTCTTTCTCTCTCTCTTCCTTCATTCATCACTCTTCCTTCTTTCTCTCTCTTCCTTCTTTCTCTTTCTTCCTTCATTCATCTTTCTTCCATCATTCATCACTCTCCAGCCCACCATCCCTTTCTTTGTCTTTTATGTCTCCATTCTTTCTCTCTCATCATCATCATCATCACTGTCTTCCTTTCCTTTTTTGTTGAGCTCCAGATAAGTTGTTGTTGTTGTTGTTTTTGGTTAGGTCACATCACATAATTTGAGAATTTTTTTTTTTGTTCTATATTATGTGTAAGTGTTTGTGGTGAATGATGACATATGGGATAAGAGTGTTCATGGAAGGCTTGCGGGGTTTGTGGATTTGTGGATTGTGGATCAGGGTGGGTGGTGGATGTGTGTGTGTGGGAAGTGTGAAGTCATCCAAATCCAAATCCAAATCCAAATGAATATCTTCCATATTGAGCTGCCAAAAAAAAAGGTAAAAAAAAACCATTAGTCAGTTGATGACAAGGGACATCAGGCTTCTAAGTTCATCGGTCTGGTTAAGGTTCTATTATAGGATAGGAAACCCGGGGGGGGGGGGGAGGAGGGTTACTGAGTCTATACAGTACATTTGGCGTCAAACGCATCCCGTCCTGCAGGCCACCAAACCCCCATGTAGTGGACTGCCCACAGATAATGGCGACCTTTCTGGTTGGCAAAGCGCTGGATTTTTAGAAACCGGAAATTACCTGAATTCTCTAACGTTTGGTTAACAGCTAGAGTAGAGATGGGCACTGATGCATCCGGATATCTGTGCGGCTTCAGATATCTGCTTGCTTTTTCAGGGCAATCAGGCATCCGCATCTGCTGACGGGTATTATCCATATCACCTCATCAGCCTAAACTAGTCTTATTTTCCTTGCATGACGGCTACAGCTAATTACACCACCACATAACCAGACCAATCAGAATCACCCTTTCAGCTGTTTCGGCTCACCACTTCAACTTGTACACTTGTCTCACCAATCACATTCACTCATTCACATGTTGTATCCAGCTAAAACCACTCATCTAATGGCCCTTGTCTGCTTGCTACTATGGCAGAGACGGCCTGTCATAGCAGATCAAAATAAATCAAATCAAATCAAATCAAATCTAAATCTAAGTATAAAGTAAAATTATCACATAAGTAAAAGAAACCATATTACTTATGTAAATAAGATAAAAAATACATAAAAATAAATAAATAACTTATAAATTATAAAGAAAAACTTTAAGTATTATTGCTAGAGATCGTTCCGCGGTACCCTTTGCTAGGTACCTAGTACCGCTTGGGGGGTACCCTTCACACCCGCCCTGCAACCGTCGGGAGGTGCCAGGTGCGGTACTTGGTACCTATTTTTGTGGAAAATTGAACAGGTACCTAGGTACCGCTACAGGTACCCCCTCACTTCCCTACCAAAATGACGGTGGCCTTCTACTCCAAGAACTCCAAGAAGGTACCTTGGCTACATGGAAACAGGGACTCAAGGATAACAAGAAGTCTAACCAAAAATCAAAAAGGAAGGTGATAGTTTTGGACAACGATGAAGATTCTTCTAATAATCTAATTAGATATAATTTGTAGACAGTTTAAGCTTTAAAATAAATTATTAAATGTGAACAAATGAAAAAATTGACTTGGGATTGATGTTTTACAATAAATATGAAAAAAGGCAAGATTCTTCCCATTAGATGTAGATACTTGCCAACAAATATGAAAAAAATGCCAAAAAAGTGACTTGAGTAATATTTTACAATAAATATGAAAATAATAATAATAATGAAGTAAGGTTCTTCCAATTAGTTTAAGATGTCTTACAACAAATATGACAAAAGGAAAACAGTGACTTGGGAATGATATTTTCAATAAATATGAAAATATAATAACAAAGTAGGTTTCTTCCAATTTGTTGTCAACATTTCACAATAAATATGAAAGAATGGAAAAAAAGTGACTTGGGACTGATATTTTACAATAAATATGAAAAAAAAAAAATAATAATAAAGTGACTTGGTAATCTGAAAGTGAACCTGGGTTAGAAAGAGAGGGGAGGTACCCGCGGTACCCGCCAAAAGTACCGCCAGTACCCGCCGGGAGGTGCCTGGTGCGGTACTTGGTACCTATTTTTTGAAAAAATTCAACAGGTACCCGAGTACGAACGAACAATCTCTAGTATTATCCATATCACATCATCAGCCTAAACTAGTGTTATTTTCCTTGCATGACAGCTACAGCTTACACCACCACATAACCAGACCAATCAGAATCACCCTTTCAGCTCATGTTTGGCTCACCACTTCAACTTGTACACATGTCTCACCAATCACATTCACTCATTCACATTTTGTATCCAGCTAAAACCACTCATCTAATGGCCCTTGTCTGCTTGCTACTATGGCAGAGACGGCCTGTCATAGCAGATCAAAATAAATCAAATCAAATCAAATCAAAATCTAAGTATAAAGTAAAATTATCACATAAGTAAAAGAAACCATATTACTTATGTAAATAAGATAAAAAATACATAAAAATAAATAAATAACTTATAAATTATAAAGAAGAACTTGAATTATTGTTGCAGATTCTGAATCTTCATACAATTCAACCTAAGGTACCTCAGCCAAAGGTACCCTTAATTCCTAACTCCTTCACCCTGTAATATACATATGAATAATTAACAGGTACCATCAGATCACGGGTACTGTGACACTGATGGATTAAGCATAAAGCATGTACTCCAAATCCAGTCACAGCATTGGATGATTGTGTATGGTTCAGAAGATAGAGCAGTGTGGAGTACTGTCTCCAAGCCCACCCGCCGCGTAGCCATGCTGCACACCAGTATCCAAGAAATCGGCCACAAAAGCCCCAGAATACCCATTCCACATGACAACAAAGCCCCCCATTGTGTAATCAAAATATAAACAAGCTAGAATATCCATTAAGATTAGAGATCGTTGCTCCCCATCCAGATATCCGGCTGCTTTTTCCAGCAAAATGGCCATCCACATCCGCATCTACACCCGCTGGCGGGTATCCGTTGGCCGCAGGGGGTATCCACGGATAACAGCCCTGTAAAGGGCCAGAAAGGGACTGGCTGGAAGGGTTTCCTTCCAGCCAGCAAGGTACATGCTCAACGGCTGGAAGGATTTCCTTCCAGCCAACAAGGTACATGTACCTCGTTGACTGTAAGGATTTCCTTCCAGTGGTTGAGGTACATGTACCTCAAAATCCTTCAAGTCAACAAGGTGCATGTACCTTTTCGACCGGAAGGATTTCCTTCCAGCCGGCCATCTCCCCTTCAGGCCTCGGGTATCCTTTGGGATACCCGGATATTCGCCTGGATTTTTGGGGAAACAGGACATCTGCACCTGCTTTCGGGTATCCACCAGCAGATTTCCTTCGACCATCTCTAATCAAAATATTACAGTAACCATATTCCAATGGGTAACACATGTAGCAAGCCTCAGAAACCACCTCTGGAATATTCTGTGGCCCATTTCCAAGGGAACTGCTCCACGTAACAGAGTAACCCCCATCCACAGGTTCCCATGGGACATTCTTGGCTGTAATAGTTTTGTGCATGGCCCCTTGGAACTTCTAGAATATTATCCCCAAGGTTTCAGCCCTTGTTGTGTCACCATGTGGGCCAAAATGGGCCCAAAAGCGCCCCCAAGTCTTACTAAGCTCCCCTGAGCAACCCCTGAGGCCTTCCACAGGTATTTAAAGGACATTCTGACCGCACAAATAATCATCCCCCAGATTTGCAATACCATATAGAAACATACTTACCATTTACAAGTCCCCTACACTTGTAATTTGCCTAGTTATTACTACATTTTACTGTTATTAAGCCTCAAGATTCCTCAAGAAACTCCCCAGTTATCACCCAGCACCCAAAATCAACCATCCTGAGCTCTCCCAACTGTCCAGTTTCTACTAAGAAGATCCTCAAGACCCCTTTGTGTTGAAACTCGACGTGTCACGAGTTAAGACCGGTGAAACTATTGGTGAAACAAGGAAGCGCGTGCAACTGCGCCAACCATAATCCCAACTGCGCCACCCACTTCCGCATCATATATCTCAAATCTTAATCATCATCAATTCAAACCTAATCGAGCTGTCAGATCTCAGGTATAAAAGAAGGATCATTCTCGACTCAATTCAATCGCCAGTCTTCTCAGGTCTTCCATACTCCCACAAAATCAGACTACCTCAATCTCAAGACTCACCCAATCTCTACCACCAAGGATCAAAACCCTCACTTCAACCTTCAACTCACAAAAAGCTCTATCACCGAACGTCTCTTTCAGTTCTTCAACTTGGTGAGAAATACACGATGAAACACTTTCTCCGACCTTTCTCCATTCAACAAATAATCTTACTAATACATTGTGTTTCAGTTCTGCTTGTCTACTGTCCTGTCACATCTTCATATAGTTGTCTGTCAGAGTTCTTAACTCAGCTCATCGGGTATGCTATGATTGTCTCTTATAATAATTTTCAATATAGTCTCAGTGTCTAATTGTAATTCTTCAGGCTCTGGTTTTCATTCTCAAGTAATCAATTCTTAGTGTTAGGTTCTTTACGATTAACAGTCGAACGCGAAACCTATGACCGACAAGGCATCAAAAACGTCAACTAAACAATCAACCAAAAACCAGAAGCTCACTACGACAACTAGCTCTAATGGAATGGATAAGATAAACACCACCGTTCTCAAGACATCAATCGAGGGCATTCCTCTTTTGACTACGGACAACTACACTCACTGGAGACGTCGGGTAATCAATCTTCTCGACCTAATTGAATTAAAGGAAAACATTACTGTCGCCACCGGTGTTGTGTCTGACGCGGACAACAAATTGCTCAAAACGATCTTCGTTTCTAAACTCGACTCGGCTGTTCAAGCAAACGTAGTCAACTCCACCAATGAAGACAATGCTAAGCTCATCTGGGAATCAATCACCCAATTCTTCGCTTCCAATCAATCCTCCAACAAGGCTCGAGTTTTCAGATCGTTTCTCCAAACTCCGTACACTCCGAATGTGTCAGCCTGCTAGTAGTCAGAGCCAGCCTGAACATAGCACTTTACATATAAATTAGAGATATTGTTACTTACATATGTACATACAAATAAAAACAATAAAATATATTATTTAAATAAGTGGAAGCACTATAATAGAGACATTATTACACTGTGCACTTACATTGTAATATTCTATGAGGAAAACATTTAAATAATTAAATAAATAAGAAAAAATAACATTTTCAATCAGAATCTACTAATAACTTCTGAACCTTAAGTATAACTCAGAATATTATTACAGATTCTGAATCTACATGTAAAATAACCTAGGGTAGCTCACCAAGGGTACCCCTGAATTATTACTCCTTCACTTACTTTGAAGTCCTTGAGTGATATTGGACTAAAATACACTGTAGACCCCTCCAGTTACATCATACTACAGGTTGTAAGGGGGCTACATGTGTAATTAAGGTTCATACAGTTCGGGAAAAATCTACAAACAAGGTTTACATCATTGAAACCTTAACTACATGAGCACAGACTACAGTATTAAATTGTTTGGGATGATCTGTGGCCCTTTTTGGCCCAATTGGGACTATTACTCTCTTGAGGATCAACCCATGCATCATGCAGTGCTTACATAGGCTACAGGAGTGTTACAGTTTCGTCAGAACACCCTGTAAACATGGTTACAAGCATTACATCATCTCCTTGACACCTGTAACCAAGCTCTACAGGTGCTACAGATGATCAAAAGCTCCCATAGGCTTAGTAGGAGAGTTGTAGCAACTAGAGAGACTCCTGAGTTCGCCTCCAGAGGCCCAGAATGGGTACTTAAGAGCCCCTTCTTCCCCCTGAACTTTGATTCCCCATCTTCATCATTACTTACCAGCATAAACCGTCACCAACACCCAGTATCAACCTGCCTTTTGGCCCTGTTCCTGCTGTTTGTAACCTGAACTTCAACCTTTCAACCCAACACCTGTTCCCCAGCTCCCTCAACATCTCTCACCCACCTTTCTGAGCGCCTCAAGAACAGTTCCCCCCTCCTGAAGACCTCCTTGGCTTAGAGATAAGTACTAGTAAGTATTATTTCTTTGTTTCTTCAGTTGTAGGCTATTTCTGGGCATACTCCTTTATTACAAAGGACCAGAACATCAGTACCACCCCTGTAACCCAGGACCTGATATTAGAGGGCACCTTAAAAACCCCTGTAACTCAGGCCCCTCTGTGAATGAAAACTTAAACAGTTTTTATTTACTTTCTACCACACTTCTACCCACTTTTCACGTGTCACCCACACGTGTACACCTCTGAATTCATCCTTGCACCTAGTGTAGCTAGAAGAGTTTCAGCTCTTGGCATCACTCAGGCTGACAGAATGACATTTCCGGATTCATCACAACCATGAAAACATTTGATACTCGCCTCATTGAAGTCGGTTGGACCCTGCCTGCCGATTCCATTGGTCATTTAGTCATGGATGAATTCCCAGCCAGCATGGACAACATAGCCGATGTCATCACTCATACTGGGAAGGAAATCACCTTAGACAATGTGTTAGACCATCTTCGCTTACATGCACACAACATCGAGAGCCGAGCCGTAGGAAGTGGAACAAAGAACGACCCGATTACCTTGTTCACCGATAGCTCCAAGAAATGTCAAAAGAACGCTCATAACACTTTGGCCCCTCACTCGGAATCCAACTGCTGGATGTTACATCCCGAACTCAGACCGGCTAAGGGATCCAACAACAAAACCGAATCTACCGTGAGTAGTTTTCACTCATCGATAAACACATCACCTCTACAGTTCATTCTTGACTCTGGATCCTCAGCTCATGTGGTTTCAAATCCTCACCTTTTTCACACTCTAGAACTCAAAGAACTAGGATCGGTACAAACCAGCTCTGATCAAGACAGCTTAAAAATAAAAGGAATAGGATCGATTAAACTTAGAAATGAATATGGAGAGTTCTTCCTCAATTACGTACTCTACATACCTAATCTAGTTGTAAATCTCCTATCAGTTCGCTGTCTTGTACTCAACGATTACATAGTCCATTTTCACAAAAATAATTTTGAAATAAAAAAGAATGATGAAGTAAAAATGTCCGGTGTGTACGTTGGAAATCTCCCAAGCATCAATTTCGAAAACATAGTCCATTCTAGTCATCTATCAAACGAAGAATATCTTCATAAGTCGCTGGGACATGTCAGTTATCATCGGATTAGAAAGAAGCTAGGTATACCTCTCAACATTATCAATAGCTGCGAATCATGTGCGATTTCTAAAATTACCAAGGCATCATTTAAATCAACACACTCTCCTGCATCTCGTCCTTTTCAAGAATTACATCTTGACTTGATCGGCCCAATATGGCCATCCTCAAAGGAGGGTCATCGATACATTCTGACTGTTGTAGACAGTTGCTCTCGTTTCTGCGCGGCTATTCCTATCAAATTGAAAAGCGATGTGGCTGAGACGCTCTCTTATCTCATTGATATAGAAGCCAAACGATTCGGCTATCATCCTTCTTTTATTCATTCGGATCGAGGTTCAGAATTCATCAATGCGAGCATGAACGAATACTGCAGAAATCATCTCATCAAACAACGCACTGCAGACGCTTATACACCTCAACAAAACGGACTAGCAGAACGATTCAACAGGACTATTCTAGAATCAATGCGCACCATTCTTCAAGACTCGGGGGTCGATAAACGATACTGGGATGAGATAGCCAAAGCTAGCTCCTTAACTCTGAATCAAATACCAGCACACAGAAGCAAAAAATCACCTTTCAAATTGTTCAAGGACCAAGCACTTCCACTCAGCTACTTTCACCCCATCGGAAATCGTGTTTCGTATTTGATTGAGCCTGCTAAATCCTTCTCCAAACTCAAACCAAAAGGAGAATTGGGTGTTCTCATTGGATACACGGATGAACTAAGGTCCTATCGAATTCTATCAGATAATGGGAAGATTATAGACACGAAAAGCGTGCAATTTCTAGAATATGAAAAACCTAACCCACGGGGATCGGACTGGGATATTCTGATTGAAGAAGAACCGATTCCTGACAAAGAAGACTCTGTATCGGTGGATGAAAAGTTGGAAGAGGAAAAAGAAGAACGAGAGGAAGATAAAAGGAAGGATGATCAATCTGAAGACAGCGAAGAAGATCAGATAGCCAAGAATCTAATTCCAGTGGAAAACTCGACCAGAACACTTCGAGAACGCAATTCTCATGTCAAACCTGTTAAGTATTCGTATCTCACCACCGATCCCGTGTCATTCAAAAAGGCCATGGCGTCCATTGAAAAAAATGGTTGGATGAAAGCAGCAGAGGAAGAACTAGCGAACATAGAACACCATGAGGTATGGGAAGATATGTTTGACACTCCCGAATCATTCCTCTACACTCTATGGATTTTTAAAACCAAACCGGCAACGCTGTCAGCAGCGGAAAGAAAAAAGGCTCGACTATGTATTCGGGGATTCACACAGATCGAAGGACAAGACTATGGAGACACCTTTGCTCCAACAGGAAAATTCACTACCTTACTTATGATCCTCATGTTTGCAGTAGATAAACAGATTCCAATCCGACAATTTGATGTTAAGAGTGCTTTTCTTTACGCTCCACTCAAAGAAGAATTATACATCAAGACTCCCGAGGGCTCGAACAGGAAGGCACCCTTTCTCAGATTAAAAAAATCGCTATATGGACTAAAACAAGCGCCAGCTAATTGGTATGAAACTTTGACATCATGGTTTGAAGAAATCAACTTCCATCAATCAACATCCGATCCCTGTCTGTATGTGCACAACGACAAACACACCTACATTTTTTTTCACGTGGACGACCTAATTGTAGTAGGAAACGTAGAAGTTTTTGAAGATCTCTTTCTCAGCAGATTCCCCAACTCAACGGCACATGAACCTGACACACTGCTAGGAATGGATGTCCATCTCTCCGAAGGCGTGATAGCTCTCTCTCAAGAAAAATTAATTGAAAAAGGACTGAGTATGCTTGGAATAAATGACTGTCGAATCACCAACACTCCGTTATCGGTGGCAGTACAACTGAAACAGGCAACAAAGGAAGAAAAAGACGAGTTTGCTAAACTGAACATCAACTATCGTACGTACACGGGGATTCTCAACTATCTGTCATGCCGAACACGACCGGATCTAGCACCAGCAGTGATGAAAAACAGGTAATATTACTGAAACAAGAACCAGAACTGTTTTTGAAAATGAAAGACAGGAGATTAGACACATCAGAAAAACAACAATAGCATGAGAACCAATGATATATAAGAAATAGAAAAGAAAGCATACCACGGTGAGATTTATGATTAATAGGAAGCAGAGCAGACAAGCTTAGGTATATGAGATCAAAAAGAGAGAAGTAGTAAGAACTGAAGTTTAAGAGGAGGAAACAAAAAAGGTTAGAGACTTTGATCGATTCCCTTTTGATGAGGTTAGTGAGTTTTGATTTTCTCACCAAATTGGCAATAGCCAAGAGAGGATGTTGAGAGAGAGAGTCGGAGAGATTAGGAGTGATGAAGATTGAACTGAATAGAAATCGAGATGTCGTCGAGATCGATAGGACTGTTCAATGAGAGAGAAAAGGGATAGGAGATAGAGGAAGGAAGAGGTGATGATGCGGATACGGAAGGGAAAGTGGAAGTTCGGAATGTTGGGTGAGTTGTTGGGTGTTGAGGTGAAGAGCCGAGCAGTTGAGGCTGAGAGGAGCGAGTGAGATTGAAGTGGTCGAAGGTGGTTTTTGGTCGACAGACTGCTGAGGGAGAGGATTTGGATCAGACGGAGGCCGCTTTTTATAGAGAATGTCTTGATTGGCTGAGTTGTGGTTTTGATTTATGCGCCGGAGTCGTGATGTCGGAGGATAAGGAAATTGGAAGAATGAGGAAAGAAGATAACGAAAGGGGAATGAAACGGGAGAAGAAGGAGAAGATTTGGGAGGAAGCGAGAGGAAAAGAAAGTACAAAAACGAGTTGATTG